CTTTTAGACACCGGTTGCACAAGAGCTTGAAGCGTCACCACCTCTCCTTGACCTCCTTAGCCAAGTCACCCCACACACATTGGCTCCTTTCCATGGGGTGTTTGGACTTTAGAATGAGGCAGCATTAGATTCAGTAAGAGTAGCTCTATAGGAGCTTTTTCCAGAAACAAACAAACAAACAGAAAATCCTGATGATTTGCTTTGGGTGCAAATCTCACGTTGAAATATGATTCTCAGTGTTGGACCTGGGGCCTCAGGGGAGGCATTTGGGTCAAGGGGGCAGATGCCTCATGAATGACTTGTTGCCCTCATCAAGGCAATGAGTGAGTTCTCGCTCCTTTAGTTCACATGAGAGCTGGTTGTTTAAAGGAGCCAGGCACCTCCTCCTCTCTCTCTTGCCCCAGCTCTCACCATGTGATGTACTGTGTCTGCCTTTGCCCTCTACCTTGAGTGGAAGCTTCCTGAGGCCTCACCAGAAGCAGATGCCAGCACCATGCTTTGTGCACAGCCTGCAGAACCATAAGCTAAAATCATACCTCTTTTCTTTATGAATTATTCAGCCTTAAGTGTTCCTTTATAGCAATGCAAACATGGCCTAACAGACTTGAATTTTCTAATAATAACTCATAGACTGAAGAAAAGTAGCAAATGATTAGATAATTATAATAATAGCAGCTATTTTGTGGCATATCTCCTGTGTTCCAAGCTTTTGTTCTACATGCTTTACAGTATTAACTCTTTTAATCTGTGTAATTAACTTCATGAGGGATGGTATTATATTATCGCCATTTTTTAGTTGAGGAAACTGAGGCATAAAGAGAGTAAATAACTTGGCCCTGGGTCACACAGCTAATAAAGTATTGAACTCATATTTGAACCCAGGCAGTATAACTGTATAACTCCAGCTGCCTCTTGTCTCTCTGGAAATGACACCAAAATATCCAGAGTACTCCCTCTAAGGGGACCAGCAACCTGGGCAGGAAACTAGAGAAAATATACTAAATAGGTATGCAGGCTGGTTCAGGTTCTTACTAACACTACAAATTCTATGGAGTTTTCTGTAGCCTGGACAGAGTAAAACTAAATTTTTCAAAAAGAAGTCATAGCACTTTAGACTGTTTAGGAAAGATACAATTACTCTACCAGGGCCAGGCAAGGTGGCTCACGCCTGTAATCCCAGCACTTTGGGAGGCTGAAGCAGGTGGATCACCTGAGTTCAGGAGTTTGAGACCAGCCTGACCAACATGGTGAAACCTTATATCTACTAAAAATACAAAAATTAGTTGGGCATGGTGGCATGTGCCTGTAATCCCAGCTATTAGGGAGGCTGGGGCAGAAGAATTGCTTGAATCCAAGGGACGGAGGTTGCAGTGAGCCAAGATGGCACCATTGCATTCCAGCCTGGGTGACATAGTGAGATTCCATCTCAACAACAACAACAACAACAACAACAACAACAAACAGTTATTCTACCATGCCGGGAGGTATGGTTTGGCTGTGACCCCACTCAAATCTCATCTTGAATTGTAGCTCCCATAATTATCATGTATTGTGGGAAGGACCCCGTGGGAGATAATTGAATCAAGGGGGTGGTCTTTGCCCATACGCTGTCTCATGGTGGTGAATAAGTCTCACAAGATCTGATGGTTTGATAAGGGGAAACCCCTTTCGGTTGGCTTTCATTTCTCTCTTCCCTTCGCCATGTAAGACGTGCCTTTCACCTTCTACCATGATTGTGAGGACTCCCCAGCCACGTAGAATTGTGAGCCCATTTAACTTCTTTTCCTTTATAAATTACCCACCCAGTCTTGGGTATGCGTTTATCAGCAGTGTAAAAACGGACTAATACACCAGGGGTTGGCAAAGGCTGGCCCATGAGCCAAATATGACCTGCTGCCTGTTTTAGGAAATAAAGTTTTATCGGAACACAGCCATGCAAGTTTACTTACACATTGTGGCCGCTTCCACATTACATTTGAGAGCTGAGTAGTTATCACAGAGATCCTATGGCCTACAAACCTAAAACATCTATTATTTGTTTCTTTATGGAAAAAAATTGCCAACCTCTGTACTAGATCGTATTCTCCAAGCATTTCAAGATAGTCTTAGTGTATTTCTGAACTTGAGGAATGAACCCAAATTGTCAAAATGGACTGAATAATTTAGTATTTTTATTGCTATTCAACATAAGCGTGTGCATCCCCTCCCATGTGGCAGGCACGTCTGAATTTATATTGGCACTAAAGCTTGGCATTCCACCAATCTTCAGATACCCCTTTTTCAAAGACCTGACTGCACGTTACCTGGGTAATTTCTGATGGATCCCTTAGTGCTCTAAGGTCCCTTTGTGGTCACTTTTCTGTTTCTGTGCCTGCCCATTGTCGGGAGATTTGCGCACAGAAAACATTCACTGAATGCCTCTCTTACTTTATGATCATGGTGGAGTGAACCAACATAGTAGGCAAATGTTAAAATCCAACCATCTTTAGATTCTGTACCCCATTTTGAAGTTAGAATCAGCTGTTTCCCCAAAATCTGTTTGCTAGACCTTCGTAAAATCACATTTTTCCTGATTATAAAACTTATATATGCAAAAAATGTGGAGGTACCTAACCACAAGAATAGGAGTCCCCCCACCCCCAATCCCGCCACCTCAGCTAGCCACTGTTAATATTTGAGTGTAATAAATAGTTTTGAAGGAGATTCTGTCTCTTTGACGTATTTTTCTTTTAACTTTTTCTCTACATCATTTAAAATTTCTTAGAAAAAGAAACATTTTTTTCTTTGGCACATAATAGTGCATCATATGGATATGCTGTAATTTACTGAACTGTTTCCTTGTTACTGAGCATTTGGATGGTTTCCAGCTGTTTGCTGTTATGCATAAAACATCACGACCATCTTGGCACATGAACCTCTGTCTGCTTCCTGGGTGTCTCCTTAGGGTCAGAGTCTCAGAAGTGCAGTTGCTGAATTAAAGATAGTTAATATTTTTAACACTTATTAGATATACCAAGAATGAATTAATGAATTAAAGGCCAGATATGGTGGCTCATGCCTGGAATCCCAGCACTTGGGGAGGCTAAGGCAGGAGGATTGCTTGAGCCCAGGAGTTTGAGACCAACTTGGGCAACATAATGAGACCTCGTCTCCGCAAAAAAAGAAAGAAAAATATTAGCTGGGCTTGTTGGTGTGCACCTCTAGTGCCAGTTACTCAGTAGGCAGAGGCGGGAGGATCTCCTGAGTCCAGGAGTTCAAGGCTGCAGTGAGCCATGATTGTGCTATGGCACTCCAGCCTGGATGACAGAGCAAGACCTTATCTTTAAAAGAAATAATGAATGAATGAATGAATGAATGAATGAATGAATGATCATGTCATCTCCGAACTTCTTTACTGACCTTAAGCAAGACTGCGCTAGTTCATGTAATCCCACAACAAAGACTTATTAACATGTGTTAATGTTTGCAGACTGATTATTAAAACAGAGTGAAATCAAGCCTGCAGGTGAGCAGGATCGCTTCAGCGTGATCTACTGGGTGATTTGATATTTAGCTTAGGATGGTGATCATTTTCTTAGGAGGAGCGTGGTTTGAGTTCACAGACATTTGCCTAGAGATGTTTCTTAGGTTCCGTCCTATATTCCAGCAGTTTTCAAACTCAAATGGGCGTAGGAATGACCTTGCAGGGTGGGACACCGCAGGGCCTCGACACCTGCTGTCCTATCTCCACAATGCGCTGCCCCCAGAGAGCCCCAGGTCTCACTGTCTTCATTCAGGTCTCATGCAAACATGGCCGAATCCAAGAGTTCTCTCCAACAGCTGGGTCACTTGAGGCCCCCTTGCCTGCTTTGTTCCCCGGGTGGCTCTCATTCCCCGTAACCACCATTCCCGCATGCATTGTCTCTCTTCACTGCAGCCTAAACTGAGCAGGCAGGCCTTTTCTCTGATCTTGTGAGTGGTTCTGCGTCAGTAGCTCTCACCCCCAGGGCCACGTGAGTGTCAGGTTCAGGGTCATGTCACGGTGATTCATGTTCTGGCATGCCATTAGCGTCACTGCCCATATTTTGGTGTGAGTATAATCAGCTTTGGGACGTTGGGGGAGAACCTTGAGAAGGACCTGTGACATGAAGGACGTGGGCTTCAGCAGGTAGGACTTGGTCATTATTTGTCACATGAGTTGTATGTGTGAACATGAACCCCAGCCGCTGCTGGCGCAGGCTGGTGGAGCCTCCCTCCAGGGTGCCAGCACCTACCCATGTCACAGAGCAGCAGCGCAGCAGCCCTGCAAAGCCGGAGGGCCAGGCAGGTGCCCAGATTGGGTTGTGCCCTTCAAAGGCTACAGTGGCCAAGCAAAGCACCTGACTTATAGGGTTTAACTTGGGTATAGGGAAAAATTAAACTCAAAAGCCACATGTTTACACCAGTGCATCCCCTCCACATAACATGGACAACACTGCTACCAAATATTAGCGATTATGTTTTTGGGGGAAGCTGTCGCTTTGTGAACATTGATGCTGTTCATGATGAAGAATGGCTTACGGGCTTACAGTAGACTTTCTGTGTTTAGGATAGCTGTCTTGGACATGGCAACCTTATCTTTGTGGCTCGGGAACATGGATACATAAGAGAATACAATGGGCTTAGCCAGGCGTGGTGGCTCACGCCTGTAATCTAGCACTTTGGGAGGCCAAGGCAGGCAGATCACAAGGTCAAGAGATCGAGACCATCCTGGCCAACAGGGTGAAACCCCGTCTCTACTAAAATTACAAAAATTAGCTGGGCGTGGTGATGTGTGCCTGTATTCCCAGCTACTCAGGAGGCTGAGGCAGGAGAATCGCTTGAACCCGGCAGGCGGAGGTTGCAGTGAGCAGAGATCGCACCACTGCACTCCACCCTGGAGGACAGAGCAAGACTCCATCTCAAAAATAAATAAATAAATAAATAAATAATAATAAAATAAAATAAAATGAATACAATAGGCTTTTCTTTTCTTTCTCCAGGTCTAGCACATACCGCTCCAAGGGCTTTGACGTCACTGTGAAGTACACACAAGGAAGCTGGACGGGCTTCGTTGGGGAAGACCTCGTCACCATCCCCAAAGGCTTCAATAGTTCTTTTCTTGTCAACATTGCCACTATTTTTGAATCAGAGAATTTCTTTTTGCCTGGGATTAAATGGAATGGAATACTTGGCCTAGCTTATGCCACACTTGCCAAGGTAAGGCTAATCCATGGATTTAAGGAAATCAAATAATAGGATGAGATTCTGAAAATCATTAAAGGGCTGACACACAAGTCTTGAGCTATCCTTGGAGACAGTGAGAACCATGTGGTGGAAACAGACCAGTATTCACACCATTATATTTCCAAGCATTTTTTAAATTGAAGGTAAACAGCATGATTCTTGGAACCTTCCTGTAAAACAGACTAATAGCATTAACTTTTTGTTTTATTTTCGTTTTATAGTTTAAAATGTTAACAGAATTTGAATCATGTAGACGGTGATGTGTGTTTAGGAGGTTTTACTAAGGTAGGATTAAAAGAAAACACATTTATTAAATTCATACGTTTGTGTGAAGCAGGAGCCTGCGGGCAGCCCTGGAACCAGGCAGGGGATGGTGCCCTCAGCCAGAATGGGATGTGGCCTGTTTTCCTGGCTCTGCAGGGGACACCTCCAAGGAGACACCCAACACCCAGCAGGGAATATGGGCAGCCTGAAGGCATGCCCTGGGGATAGCCAACCCTTCCCAGTGGTGGGGAGCCCCGGAGGAATTGTGGAGCCCTGCTCTCGCCATCACCAGAGCCTCCCCAAATGGGGAAAGACAGAATTGGATGTTCCCCAAATATTTGTACTTGGGGCCTACCCAAAGGAAATAATGTCTATGCAGGAGGAGGGAGGCAGGCAGGGGAATTTCCACCTGGAGGCATTGCCGAAGGCAGGCGGGAGTCGACACCGGGGCTGTGTGCTGGGCTCCTGGAGTCCACACGGGTTTGCATGCATCGAGAACCGCAGAAGGAGACCAGCTCTCCTGGCCCCGTAACTGGGCACCACGGCCTGGCCTCACCTTGCTTAGCATTAGGCTTGGAACCAGAGCTACATGTGGAAGGAAACAGAAGTGACTGCTAGAGCAACACGCCCCCACTGTCCCGGGAGGATAATCTTCCCATCGTTCCAGCTCAAGTTTATGAGCAGATGGGGATGGGGTGGGGAGAGCAAGAGGAATTTTATAACCCTTGGCCCCCACAAGGAGACAGAATCACAATTACTGAGAGCCTATTAGGCCCTAGGCTGAGAAGATCCAAGATAAGATGTGGGTCACTCAGTGCTCATGACTCCCCTGTGAGGCATACTTTGTAAGGTCATATTCTCCCCATTTTATTTTTTTCTTTTTCTTTTTACTTTTTTTATTTTTTTGAGAGAGTCTCACTCTATTTCCCAGGCTGGAGTGCAGCAGTGTAATCTCAGCTCACTGCAACCTCTGGCTCCTGGGTTCAAGTGATTCTCGCACCTCAGCCTCCCAAGTAGCTGGGACCACAGGCACATGCCACCACGCCTGGCTAACGCCTTTTGTATTTTTGGTAGAGACGAGGTTTCACTATGTTGGCCAGGCTGGTCTCAAACTCCTGGACTCAAGTGATCCATTCACGTCAGCCTCTCAAGGTGTTGGGATTATGGCATGAGCCACCGCGCCTGGCCTTATTCTCCCCATTTTCAAGATGTGGGGATTGAGGGTCAGTGAGCTGTTGCCCCTTTGAAGTCAGAACATGGAGCTTCTCAGTGTCTGCAGAGCCAGGGCTGGCTCATGAACCCTTTTGTCCTCTGTATCATAGGGAATTGCAGATAGATGGAAACTTGCATTCCTAAACACATTTTCAAAATGTTTTATCTGTATGTGACTATTTGGAAATGAAAGATATATATGACTGGTTTTATGTGAATTGTTCCGAAGTTGATAGAGGAAACCTAAATTGCCTGGAATTAATAATATGTAAAGCTTCTGTGAGAACAGACCCCTTCGGGGTTTGCTCAGACCTCCCTACTCACTGTGAGACATTTTATCTTCTCATTTATGAAATTCCAAGATTACTGACAATTGGCTTCCCATTTCCAGGGTTTGAGGAGAAAGCAGTAGGACTCATAGGAAGCAGAGTGTGGCTGGGAACAGGGCCTGCAGGGTGGGCTGGGCGGACTGCCCCAGGGGTCTCTGAGGCAGGTGCGCTGAGCGCTCTGCAGTGCTCAGGTTGTGAGGTGGCCCCTGGTCCATTCCAGGGGCTTCCTGTCAAGGCTGTATCAGGAATACCTACGGGGCTTCTAAAACTGCAGCTTCCTGGGCCCCACTGAATCAGGTTCTCTCAGGGTTAGTTGTGGGCACCTGGATGCTTTTAAGTCCCTAGGGGAATCCCACGGCACAACCCTAGTGAAGAAGGACTTGGCAGAATGATTGCAGCTCCTTCACTGTGTGCCAGGTACAGTTCTAAGTGCTTTATAAGTATTGGCCCATTTAAGCCCCAGAGCAGCTCCAGGTGGCTGCCCTTATCCCCGTTTCACAGGGAAGGAAGCAAAGGAACAAGTCACTTAGCTGGCAAGTGGCAGAGCCAGTCTCCCCTTCGTGTTTGCTTTGCTTTACTGCCTCTCAAGAAGGTAAGTAGAACACCAGCTGGGGGCACCCCCAGGCCCACCCTGTTATCCCAAGAGGTGATTTTGTCTCACTGGTTGACCCAAACACCCGCAAGTGTTCTGACAGAGATTGCATGTGGAAATTGTGCTGGATTCTGCCTCGGAATTCTGCAGAAGCTGAGATGAAACAAGTAGGAGGTCAAACACAAATGGATTAAACCAATGGGAAGATCTGTGTCTGTTCCATGGTGGAGTCCCCCTCTCACTCCCTCTGGAATCACAGTTTTAATTCTCACAGATAGTAAATAATCATTCCTGTGAATGACCATAGGCACCCAGGGGATGCCTATAGCATCTGCGCTACTATAGTTAATTACGTTTTCATCAAAAACTAACAACTCAGGGTCACCAACTCCAGTGTCTCCCAGTTGTCAAAGCCAAAATCTAAACTCAGGTCTATCACTGACTTCCTCCATGACCGCCAGCAGCCCTGGCACACCCGCACCTCAAAGCTGTTTGCAGACCTCCCCGCTTCCCTTTGAGTCTCTCTGGAGAAATGAGGGCATCCTCTGTATGTCTTGCTGGATGTGAGGGAGACACAGAGCACATGAGGGGCTTCTGAAATCTGACCTCAGGGAATAAGAAGCCTTTTATGCTTCTGGAGTATAGATTTATGCCTTTCCTGCTTCTTTCCCGCCAGAGTTCATCTGGCAGAGCTAAGCCTCGCCCCAGGCTCTGGGGTCCGGGAGATACTGTCCTCCCTGGTCAGCCACCTCTCATTTGCATGGTGGACAGCTGCGGCTGACAGGCGAACAAAAATGTCTGCGGCCATGGCAGCTCCTAGAGAAACTCTTCTCTCCTTACTCTCAAATGCCTAAGATTAGGATCCACCACCTGCCACGGTAACCCAGTTCCACGGCTTCTCACACCCCCTCACAAGGCAGTCATGATGATAGATGTGCCTGCGTCGAATGGCTTCCAGAAATACGATCTTATTTGTACAACAGAGCTGTACCCAAAGGAAAAATACCAACCAGTGGGAAGCTCTGCTGGGGCTTTCTGAATTCCTAGACCCGATCACAAGCTGGTATATTGTTGAACCATTAAAAACACCAGGAATAAACACCAAGAATGTTGTCTGTGGTGCGTGGCATCTACATTGGGTGACCCATGTCTACACTGTGAGTCCTAAGCAGGGGTCCCTCTCTGTCGCCCTCCCGCAGCCATCAAGTTCCCTGGAGACCTTCTTTGACTCCCTGGTGACACAAGCAAACATCCCCAACGTTTTCTCCATGCAGATGTGTGGAGCCGGGTTGCCGGTTGCTGGATCTGGGACCAACGGAGGTAGTCTTGTGGGTATCTTTCAGTCTTAAAGGGGCGAAAAATCACAGATGGATGGGCTCTTTTTTCTGTTTTATTAAACACCTGAGCAGAAATATTAGGCATGTAGGTGTGCGTCGGTACTGTAAAACTTTCATCATCCTTGTTGTCGATCTTTTTAAAAATGGCTAAAATTAGACAATCCTTTATGTCATCCTGCCATCTGGAAGGATGATTCTCATTGCTTCTCCAGATTCCTTTAAAACTTTTCTTTACCATCCTTGGAAGGGCACTGCTTTCTGTGGGTGGGGGAGGGGCAAGTGAGGAGCGGTGGGGGGTGTGGTGAGTGGACCTGACTGTGGGTAGGGGGGCGAAGGAGAGTTCATAAATTTGGCAGGGAAACAGGGACCCTCGTAGATCCTTTCTCTCTCTCTCTCTCTCAGCACACACACAGGCACACGCGTACCACAGTACAAGTGTTTGCTACTGAAACAGAACCAAGGCCGTCAGCACTACGGAGGTGCTGGAGCCTGAGCTTTCCTCCAGCGCCCTGCACCCAGACATCAAAAGTAGTAGGAGACAGGAAGAATGCACTAGAAGGGGGTGCTGCCAGTCCCTTTGCTTTCTGACTATGAGGGGCGGGCTCTGTGCCCCCGGTCCTCAGCTACTTTCATTTGCTACCATTTCCAGGCAGAGGATAGCATAGGATTTATGAGGAAATGTTTTATGATTTTGCAAAATGAAGCTTTGATCAGGAAAGCGCTTGTTCTTCTGTTGTCTGACCTGCAAGAAACTAACTAATTGTCAGTCAGTGTGGTTAACTGTCTTATTGCATTTCTTTGAAGGAAAAATCTCAATATTGTAAAGCTAAACTTGTATATACTTTCTTTGGATAAAAGAAACCCCCAAAGCATCTTGATTAGACGAGGGCCTAATACCATCTGACTTTTGCAGACATGGACCCATAACATTCCATGTTTATTTTATTTTATTTATTTATTTATTTTATTATTATTACTATTTTTGAGATGGAGTCTCGCTCTAGTGCCTAGGCTGGAGTGCAGTGGCGCAATCTCAGCTCACTGCAAGCTCCGCCTCCTGGTTCAAGCGATTCTCCTGCCTCAGCCTCCTGAGTAGCTGGGACTACAGGTGCCCGCTACCACGCCCAGCTAATTTTTGTATTTTTAGTAGAGACGGGGTTTCACCATGCCAGCCAGGCTGTTCTCGAACTTCTGACTTCATGATCTGCCCGCCTCAGCCCCTCAAAGTGCTGGGATTACAGGCATGAGCCACCGCGTCCAGCTCCTTGTTTATTTTGTAAGCATTGATACTTGTTTCATGACATCATCACAAAGTAGAAGCCCTCATTGCAGTCAAGTTTCTCTTTACAAGTGCATGCTTCTCTGTGTAACCTGTTGATATGTCTGTGTATTTTTTCTCTTATACCTGTAAATATTTTCTGTCCCAGGTCCTGGGTGGAATTGAACCAAGTTTGTATAAAGGAGACATCTGGTATACCCCTATTAAGGAGGAGTGGTACTACCAGATAGAAATTCTGAAACTGGAAATTGGAGGCCAAAGCCTTAATCTGGACTGCAGAGAGGTATTCATGCTATGGTCTCTGTTGTGTCTGTCTGTGTGTGCCTGGGTCACTTAAATATGCCAGCTGGAACCCGTAGATGCCAATAGAAGGTACATTACCTTGTAAGATAAAGGCTAATTACATGAAAAGATGCAGGGCCTTGCTGTACAGTAAGTTGAAATCAATTAATTCTCCTCCCTCCCCACCACAAATATTGCATCCTCCCAATCACTTAGCTTCATAGGACAAAATTACCATTAAATGGTGAGTGAAGAGGACTATCTGAGCTACACCTTTCAGCATACATTCATCTTGGACTGATGGTCCCTAAGCTCAGTTTAAGAGGTTGAAATAAGCAGATTTTTCATCAGTGTAGGACAGGGAAGGACGAAAAATAAGCAAAATGAAACAAAAAATGATTATCAGCTTTTTATCCTCCATTCACAGCTAGCCTGGCCCCCGGAGTACCCAATTCTCCCTAAAAAACAGTCATGCTGTAAAGATGTGTGTGGCTCGGTAGTGCTAAAGTGGCCACATGCAGAGCTCTGACACCAAACCTCTTGGGATCCATGTTCATGCCCTCTCACTGCGTTTTGGCTTGTTCATAACACATTATGACATTATGATTATGACTTACGAGAGCCTCAGTCTTCTATAGCACTTTTAGAATGCTTTATAAAAACCATGGGCATTTCATTACATTCTAACCTGTTAGCACTTCTGTTCATATTACCCGTCACATGCCAACATCGATTCTCATATATGCAGGTACCTCTTGTCACGCACGTCCGTGTGAAGAGACCACCAAACAGCCTTTGTGTGAGCAACAAGGCTTTTATTTCACCTGGGTGCAGGCGGGCTGAGTCCGAAAAGAGAGCCAGTGAAGGGAGATAGGGGTGGGGCCATTTTATAAGATTTGGGTAGGTAGTGGAAAATTACTATCAAAGGGGGTTTTTCTCTGGCTGGCCTGGGTGGTGGTCACAAGGTGCTCAGTGGGGGAGCTGTTGAGCCAGGATGTGCCAGGAGAAGGAATTTCACGAGGTAACGTCATCAGTTAAGGCAGGAACAGGCCATTTGCACTTCTTTTGTCGTGAAATGTCATCAGTTAAGGCAGGAACTGCCATTTTTACTTCTTTTGTGATTCTTCACTTGCTTCAGGCCATCTGGACATATACATGCAGGTCACAGGGAATACGATGGCAATGGCGTAGCTTGGGCTCAGAGGCCTGACACCTCTGAGAAACTAAAGATTATAAAAATGATTGTCCCTTCCATTGCAAATCTGTGTTTATTGACAAGAGGCACTTATTTGTCAGCTAAGAACCTAGTGGTAGAATCAAATGTCCGAATGTAAAACAAAAGACAAAACCTGTGTGTGTCTGTGTGTGTGTGTCTGTGTGTGTGTGTGTGTGTTTATGTGTGTGTCTGTGTGTGTGTGTGTGTGTATGTGTATTAGAGAGGAAAAGCCTATATTTGGAGATGCGATTCTTAGATTCTAGGTTCTTTCCTGCCCACCCCATATGCACCCACCCCCCTAAAGAACAAACAACAAAACCCAGGACATCTTAGTGCAACATTTCCGTTTGCTACAGGACTTTTAAATATTCACTTTACTTACCTATTAAAAACATGAAAATGTTATGAATAAGCTAAGCTATATTTTAAAGTGTTCGTTTTTACACTGAAAATAATTTAATATTTGTGAAGAATACTAATACATTGTTATATTTCATTTTCTTAAAATTCTGAACCCCTCCTCCCTTATTTCCTTTTGACCCGAGTGGCGTATTGGTTGTGTGACTCATGGATTTGCCTTAAGGCAGGAGGATCAAGTTGCCCAGGACTCATTCCATCCCTGGGTAGACTTGCCCACGCAGCTGTGCCTGTAGAGGTTGGGGTGGCTCATCTGGTGTTGGCCACTGGCCTCCATTCTCTTCCCTCTGCCACATGAAGAACGTTGCAGGTGGGGACAGGGCTGGCAGCGCCTATGTGTGGCTCAGTCTATGATGCAGTGTGGCTCTGGGCTCTGGTTGTTACCAATGCAAATATGGGATGTCTGTTGAAAAATTGTCCCCCCTTCTTCTCTTCACTAGTGAGGTCATAGAGAGTTGATTTGTGTACAGTTTATACAAGTGGCTTTTAATATATTTCAGCCTCAAAAGACAAATAGGTCTTCCCTCTGCCCTGGGGCAGGAGTGGGGGTCCTCAGTGAAGGAACTTGGGCAGCTCTGAGTAAGGAAAGAGCTCCCCAAAAGCCGTCCCAAGGAGGGCTATTGATTTGCTCATTTGGGCCACATCCCCTCCCTTTCCTGGGCCCATTTCCTTGTCTCCGAAGTGAGCATGTTGGGCTGGAAGACACCTGGTTCCCCAGTTCTGAGAATATGAATGAACTACAGTCCTTGACGAGTGGCGTGGCTGCCTGGATTTGTGTGTAACAGACAGACGGTGATGGTGGCTGGAGCCACGCGGGGCGGGGAGTGCCACCGTCACTCATGCACCTTCCCCTTTCTCTCCTGGTTCAAGTATAACGCGGACAAGGCCATCGTGGACAGTGGTACCACGCTGCTGCGCCTGCCCCAGAAGGTGTTCGATGCAGTGGTGGAAGCTGTGGCCCGCGCATCTCTGGTGAGTCCTCGGGACACTCACGGGTCCCCGAGTCGCTGAGTTACAATCACCTGCTGAGCAGCACTGCGTGTTCTGAGTGTCTCTGAACTATTGCACCATGCGTTTCAAATTTTCATATTGTGTATTTGCATATTTTATATGTAATCGTATAGGTGTAATATGTAAATGTATTTTATATGTGTTTAAAATCTTTATATTTTGAAGGGTTTTGTTTCAACTATCCGCTTCTTTGATGTTAGCAAATAATACCTTCGGGAACCTCAGAGGACTTGGATCTGAATGTGCAGTGCCCTCTAGTAGTTCAAATAATAGTTCTGTTGGTATAGTATTTTTTTAATCTGTGAAAACAATACTTGGTAATATAACTGTTACATTTATAGCCTTTCAAACAAAACATATAAACCAAAAATGTTACTCCTTTTTGGCCTTCATCCCCGCACTGGTTATCTTAACTTCCGTTTGTGTAGAAGAATATCATTTTTTCATAGAAGACAAAGATCAATCAGCCAATCTAGTCATTAGTTTATGGCCATGCTCTGAAATACAATTAAAATTACTATTGTGGACAACATGCCTTTTTGGGACCTGGCTGATGGTATTCCTGGTGTGACCCCAACTTTCCAGTCAGTTCAGGGCAATAAACATTGGATACAGCACAGCTTTGGGGATGAAATAGAATTAAATTTAGTCTAGTTTTTGCCACTTTTAGCTGGATGTCTGGGGAGGGGTTTTGTGCCCTCTGAGAGCCTCCGTATTCTCAACTGAGGGGTAGTTGTGAGGTTTGGGTCAAATGCTTGGTGTTGAGGAGACACTTGGAGCTTCCATTTAACATGCAACCACGGCTCTGCTGCTGTTTGTTTAGATGAGAGACGAATGTGACTTTTGGCTTCCTGAGTGTTCTCATAGCATCTGTCCACTCAGGGCCTTCCTTGTGAGATCGTCAGAAAGTGTTTCCTGCACAAACACTGCGGCCCTGGCGTGGGGCTGATTGTCCTGCTACTCTGCTGTGATGACTGAGTTCAAAGAGTGGCCAATAGGAGCACGTATGGTGGTTGCCTTGTTACAGCTCATAGCAGAAACGTGACAAGCAGGAGAGGGCTTTGGGTTGTCCTGAACCCAGACTTCAAACACCTGTGACTGCTTCGGGAAGAGCGGCTCGCTGATGAAACGACACAGGGGGAATAAGCAGGAAAGGACGTGGGCCCTTTTTGAAGCAGCAGGTCTCAGGGCGACCAGCCGCCTGGCACAGCTGCAGCTGAAGCCACGGCGGAGTCTCCATCTTTCCCACTATCTGCTGAATCAGCGAAAGTGGCAGGTAACATTGTTAGTGCCTTAACTTTAGAACGCTTGCTGAAAATCAGACCCTACTTAAAATAAGGAGTGATGCCCTCATTTCTTAAATAGTAAAAATGCCCTCAGCAGGATTAACGTGAGTACCTTCCAACTTCATACCCTGAATGGAAAAGTCTGGCCACCATCCGAAGGACGTGTTTGAAGCGCAGTGTGAAAATCTAGCAAGCCGTGGGCCGGCCGGGCCCCTGTGCCGCGAGAGGCGGGTGGCGGGGCTGCGGGGCGCTCACACTCCCAGGCTCATTGTGGCATGTGCTGAGCCGAAAACCACGAGGTAGAAGGAAGCAGACAACATTTGTTTGCTTTGTCTAAAATTATCCTCTGATTTCATTCGGTCTCTGCCTCAGGAGGGAGAAGCATGGGAAGGCTGTTTGTCTTGGGCAGGGAAAGCATAACAAGGGTGCATTGTGTGTCTGTCTTACTGTCTCTGGACCAAAGTTGTGTTTATTTTTCTTATCTACCAGGTCCGGGTAAGCCAACCCCCTTGGCTTGGGTTTCCTTCTGGTTAAGGGGAGGGCTGGCTTCAGAGAGTGAAAGACAATAGAAGTGTGGAGCTCTGTCTCCTGGCATGGATTGTTCAGATGGGATTCTAGAAATTAAGGGTTTGGAGTTCTGTATTTAGAAATGAACCTGGAGCGGGGAGTATTGTGCCAGGTGCAGCCCATGCAGACGCACGGAGACCTGGGCTTGTTCGGACCCTGCTGCAGTTCGGCCCACGTGGCTCAGGCCCAGTGCTTCTCCAAGGAGGAAATCCAGACACAAAATAATGCCCACTTTAAGATGGCTTCTGACTTTAAAACTGTGTGATCTGAGGGTCGAAACTGGCCCCCAAGGACACGTGGCTTCACCCCCGGGGAGGCTGCCAGACTTTTGGTTAAGGACCATGGCTCTGGGGACAGTAAGTCCCACATCCAAATCTGGGGTGAGCTACCCAGGCCAGTTACTGGGCCCCTTGGAGCCTCATTGTCCACCTGCTGTTGGAGCTGGCCATGGCACTGTCATCTGAGCTCTGTGCCCCATGCCCTGCTGCAGACCTGGCCACCGAAGCTCTTCGCCGAATCCAGCAAAATGACCATCCCACCTCTCATGAGCGTGTCTGAGAAGGGGCTCTCCCTGTGACGTGCATCTTTAGTAGACTTCGCTTTTTTACAAAGCAAAGATACATTAATGCCAGCATTAGAAATTACACAGATCATTCACAAATGGTCTGAGTGGAGAACGTGGAATGGATGAGCCAACCACAGGGAGCTTTCTCCCCACCTGCATGCCCTGGTGAGGAGGGCAGGTGTCTGCAGTGCACATGGTTACGTAGCACGTGCCACCCCCGATATTCAGTGTGTGGGCATCGGCAGATGCATCCAGGGGCACCCGTGTGTTTTTTCAGTTCTGGTCTTGGCAGTGTTCTGTCCCATTTTCCCAACTTCTGTTCTAACTATCCCTTTGGCTTCTAGAAGACCCTTCTCCCTCCTCCTTGGACTCGCCCTGTCCCTGTGCCCCTCCTCGTGGAGACTCTTTTTCTGGCCTGAGACCCCTGTTCTTGCTGCACATCCTCCTATGTGATCCCATCCTTAGCCTCATCAATACCTCCTGCTCACCTGTCAGTGCCTCTGGAAGGTGTGTCTAGCCCAGGCCCATCCCCTGGAGCTCAGGGCACTCAGGACTCGTGAGCCTCACATGTACACTTGGACACATGAACCACATCAATGTGCCACAGAGCTCAGCCCTCTGCAGATGAAATGCGGTCACGGTATTCCTTCATAGTGGCGCCCCTGGTTCCCTCCCCTCCTCATCTTCCATTCCTGTTTGTCTGCAGCAGCAGCCATGTCCAGCAGGCAGGTTCCACGGCAGCATCTTCTGCAGCACCCCTAACACACACCTCCCAGCGCCTGCTTGGCCCTCCAGTCCAGCTCTCGCCTTTCTTCCTTCCAGCCATGGCCTCCTCCTGCTCTGCCCCACATGGGACCCTGCCCTGGATGTGCTACAATAGGCACGTCAGACACAGTCCTTCCTCAGCAGCCGGCAGGCCCAGGGCGGACTGCTCAGGATCCTGCCTGTGAAGTCACGCAGGTGTCGTTAACTTGCCAACTCAGCAACTAGTGGATATGGGCAGATGCTACCTTCCTTCCAGTTCCCTGGTGAGAGGCGCAGGTGGATGTCCTGTGTTGCCGGCCACCTTTTTGTCCCTGGGTGCCATTTGTTTTTTTCCCCAAATATTTCCCAGGTCTCTTCTGTGTGCAAGGTGTTAGGGCTGCAGCAGGGGCGGGCCACAGATCTCTGTCCTGAGAAGACTTGGATTCTAGTGCAGGAGACCGAACTGTATCACGCCAATCAGTGTAAATTGTTAACTGCCACAAGGAGAAAGGCCAGGAAGGAGAGGGGCATGGTGGTGTTCTCGTGTTACAAGAGGAAGCCAGGGAAGGCTTCCTGGATGAAGCGGTATCTGACCTGAGATCTGGAGGAGGAGAAAAATGTCCCAAAAGAGCAGAGAGCCCACACTAGGCTCTGCACCAGGAGGCAACTTGCTGGGCTTATGGAATTCAGAGGGCAAGTGATAAGCAGAAAGGCCTTGGGGGCCACAATTAGGATTTCTGTCTTCTAAAGGGCCTCTGCCCTCTGCTATGTGACCTTGGGCAAGTTACTTCACCTCTAGTGCTTTGGTTGCCTCATCTGTAAAGTTGCGAGGATAATGCTATCACACTGGTTGAGAATTGAAGTAATTATTGCTGCAAAGGGCTTATAAGGGTGCCTAATACTAGCACTAGTAGGTACTTTGTGTGTCTTGACAATTTTAATCATTATTATTTTGTCATCACCGTCACTCTTCCAGGAGACTAATGTCCCTGCTGTTCTGTCCAAATTAAACATTGTTTATCCCTGTGGGCATCTGGCGAGGTGGCTAGGAGAGCCTGGAGCTGTTTCCTGTTGACGTGCCAGACTAGTCACGGTTTCTCATGTGATCTTGTTTTGTCTAGATTCCAGAATTCTCTGATGGCTTCTGGACTGGGTCCCAGCTGGCGTGCTGGACGAATTCGGAAACACCTTGGTCTTACTTCCCTAAAATCTCCATCTACCTGAGAGACGAGAACTCCAGCAGGTCATTCCGTATCACAATCCTGCCTCAGGTACAAACTTGGATTTGTGCTTCGCTCTTTTTATTACGCAAAAGTGAAAGCACTCCATGCATGACACGTGTATTAGATGTCACACCTGTATTAGATCTCTATCACCACAATGATGCTACAAAAGACAGCCACACATTACTGTCCCTGAGTCCAGGCAGGGCGGTGTCCCTTGGCTGGGCTCACTCACGTGTCTCTGCTCAGCTGGTGGTTGGCTGGGCCCCGATTGGCCTCTGCCCAGGCTGGTGTAGGATGGTCTCACTCACATATCTGGTGGTGAGGTGGATGGAGGAACGGAGTCATGCGTTTCTCTCCATCTAGCGCCTGAGTCACATGTGGTAACAGGGACCTGGGAGACAGAAAAGAACCACACAGGGGCTCCTGAAGTATCAGCCAAGACTGACCATCGTCTCTTCCATGGTGCTACCCAAACAAGCCCAAGGCCAGCCCAGATTCCGAGGATGGGGGAAGAGACGCCCCTCGCACTGGGAGGAGCCACGGAGCCACGGAGCCACATTGCCAAGGGTGTGGCTACAAGGAAAAGGGAAGACCTGGAGACATTTTCGTCACACCTACCACATCACCCTTATATACTTTTCCTGTTTACATATAAAGAATAAAACTAGGCTGGGTATGGTGGCTCATGCCTGTAATCCCAGCACTTTGGGAGGCCGAGGCAGGCAAATCACCTGAGGTCAGGAGTTTGAGACCAGCCTGGCCAACACGGCAAAACTCCGTCTCTACTAAAAATACAAAAATTAGCCGGGCATGATGGTGCATGCCTGTAATCCCAGCTACTCGGGAGGCTGAGGCAGGAGAATCGCTCGAACCTGGGAGGTGGAGGTTTCAGTGAGCCAAGATCACACCACTGCACTCCAGCCTGGTGACAGAGTGAGACTCCATCTTAAAAACAACAACAAACAAAAACTTTACATTTAAAAATAAAATTGTTACAGAACTGTTTCCAGTGTAGCCAAGAGAATCCAAATATCATGGTAATTTGATACCCAAACCTTTAGTTTAAAAAACATGTGAGCTCTAAATCTTTTATGCTCTTTCTTTTGATCATCAATTTCACATTTTCATTCTTTCTGGAAGAGCGACAGTGATGACAAAATAATAATGATTAAAAAAAAAAAAAAAAA